AATAGTTTTATATCATTACATTATTTATACTTGTATAATCATGTTAGAAATTTTATTTCTATAAGTTTCCTTAATTATGTTTGTAATTATTTCAAATTATTGATGTGTTTTTATAATTTTGTGTTATTATATTATTATATTCTATCGTAAATAAAAAATTTAAAAATCCATGAGGTTTACGCGTCACCTATGCTAACTAAAACGCCCCACCTTTTAAAACATGGGTACATATACGTATATACACATATACATGAAAGCTACATGCATGTACAATGCACGAAAACTAACTTAGCTATTAAATCTATCCTAATATTCAGGACTTTAAAATTTATTAAAGTTATAGTTATTAATTTTTTATTTATTTGTAATAAATTATAAAATCAAATCTCTCATGTATATTAGTTTTGGACTTCCTATAAAGCTGAAAATCATTTCATTCTCAACATTAAAGCTGAAAATCATTTACATTCTCAACTTTACTTTAAAAATTACCCGTTCATAAACTTTGAGAAACCGTCATTCTTTCCCTTTTTTCCTAATAACTTTTAAAATGCCTATTGATCTATTCCACTGTTACATTATCAACATTCATTTTTTTTTAATACTTCTTTAAAATCACTATATTTTTGTTTATGAATCTATATAACAAATTTCCTACGAAAAAAATATTAAATTTCGTCCAAAAAAATGAGAAATTAATATTAGTATCTATTTGTTCCCCTAGCCAATATCGTTTTATAATGAAACAAATGAACAAAATAAAAAATAATTTATTAGTTTTAAAGAAATATTTAATGTGATAATAAACCTTATAAACATATTTCGATACAAATAATATAAAATAATTAATAAAAATAAAGATACTTCGTGACAATTTCTTAAAAGATCAGTATCCATTATAGTGTAAATAAATTTTAAGTTATAATTGTAAAAAAAATTCATTAATGACAATCAAAATTTGTTTATCTACATAATAACAAGAGATGAGCATAATATATAAACATGTCTTTTACTTGGCTCTAACCAGTATCTATGCCCTCCAATTTTGGATGTGTGTAAGTAAACAATTAAATTTGTATAAAGTTGAACAAGAAGCACATAAATAAAAGATTTAAAATGACAAAAAAAAGTAAAATAGACTTTGTATAAGATAAAGAGGGACCAATTTTATTTTTCAAAGTTGAGAAAAAAATTTAATCAAACAAAAATTGGGAGCGTAAATAATATTTGTTATATTATAACGAAAAGACTATTTCTCTTGCACTTGAATTGCTAAGCATTTGAATTTTATACACACACATAAACTAATAAATTATTGAAGGTATCCTCCCTCGAAGCAAAGACTTTTTGACAGCTTTTATTTTAATTTTTTTACCAAACTTTATAGTCAAGCAACAAATTAAGCTCAGTAGGTTGGAAAAAAATCAGTGGAAAATTATAAATCATTTAAAATATGTTTACTTGGGGTACAAGTTATCTTTAAATTAATTATTTTGAGATATGGGTGATTCATAATGACCCTGACTTTTATAAAAATTTACATATTAAGTCATTGTTTTATTACTGTTATTGGAGTTACTATGAAATACTATTGACATTTTGTTGAAGCTCAAGCTTCAAAATTTGAAAAATGAATTTCTGCAAATAAGCTTTGTTTCACATGGATATTGTGTAAAATATCAGTTATATTGAGGAGCCTAACTATATGAAAATTTTAAGTGATTAGTATAGTTTTTGAGGTGTTTTTGGATGAATAATTCAAGAAAAAAAAATACAAAGTCTGTTTTTATATAATAATGTATAATATAGTATATTATTATATATGGTGTATAAATATCTCTTATAATTTTGTATAATACTCTATATTGAGCTTATAACATTGTATTTCAAGTTTTTAAACATTTTTTATAAAAAAAATAATATGAAAGTTTTGTATATAGTTGTAAACTGTATGTATATTATTATATACTGAATTGATTTCTAGGCTAAGAATTTGTAATATTAGTTTTGAGCTATATATTTACAATGTATAGGCTAAGAATTTGTAATATTAGTTTGAGCTATATATTTGCAATGTATATTCGCTAAGGATCAATTCAATAAAAGAAAAAAAGCAATTCGAATAGATTTTGAAACAATTCATTTTTTTTCTATATTTTTTTTCGAATAAAATGTGTAATAAACTCATTTTGAAATTAATCATAAGATCCTTACCACATAAGCCCTTAAATATTTATGCATCCTAGAACGTTACAAACTAAGCATTGATTAATTTTTACTTAGTAAATAAAGAAATAATAAATAAGATCATATCATTGTATAATGTCTTTAAAATATGCTTCATAGTTGAATTCAATTTTTTTTCTAAAATAGAAAACCCTAAAGCGTCATTTTACACGCCTATCAACATTTTGTCAACATCATTATTTTAAGAATAAAATAAAATAAAATTTCTTCATACATGTGATAACGCAATTAGCAGATCACATAGTGTGCTTAATTAAATAATGGAGATGGACTATAACTTGGATGGCTCAATGAAAAAATATAGCTCTGCATTTGTAAACTTAAAGAAAATAAAATTTCTTCATATATGTGATAACACAATTAGCAGATCACATTGCTTAATTAGATAATGGAGATAGACTATAATTTGGATTGTCTCCTTTGTTCAATGAACATACAACTCTGCTAAGTGAAAGTCAAGATCTATTGAGTGAAGATCTCCTTGGTTCAATGAAAATATAACTCTGCTAAGTGAAAATCAAGATTTATTGGGTGAAGAAAAATAAGATAACTCTCGAAAGGAAGACGCTTGTAAAAGAAGTACAAGAGGTGGTGGGATACAAATTCAAGAACGTTAATTTGTTATATCAAACTTTTACTCATTCTTCGTTCCATTGAGTGAACAAGTCTGAACCATACAAAAGGCTTGAATACGTTGGTGATTCGGTGCTGAATCTGTTAATGGACAGTTAACCCGCAAACCAGTTGCGGACGGCTAAGGTGGATACAAAAAAACTTACGTTGGTGACTTGGTGCTAAATCTGTTAATGGACGGTTAGCCCGTAGATCGGATGTGGGCGGCTAAGGTGGATATAGAAAAACTTGCTAGGATAGCCGTCAAGTATAACTGCCATAAGTATTTACGGCATAAGAAACCTATACTTAAGTGTCAAGTAAGTAACAAAAAAATTTATTATTCTTTCTATGTTTGTTATTTTGATATGTTTAATTCGGCGGATAAAACATATCTTTTGATCCACGAGGTCTTAGGTTCAAAATCCAACATATGTCAATTGCAATAGGTGTAAATTCATTATTTTTCTGAATTTTATTCCAATCAACAGGACCTAAAACCAAAAATAAAATAAAATGACAGGCTTAAACTTTTTTTTTTAATATTTAAAATCTATTCTTCTAGTTTTCTAGATGCCGAATTGTTAGCATATTTTTTTAAAAAAATTAAAGGCAAATTTTTCTTTTTAATGAAAAAAAGTTACGTTTTCTATAAATAGTATCCCATCGTAAAGAAGTTTTTTGAATTGTCTTAAACTAAATTATGTTTATATAACAATATATTCTTTAATCTTGTGGTCTTGAATATATAAGGTGGAAAGTTGGATTAAAATTTGACAAAAAAGAAAAAAATATTTCTTAATGTTTCAAAACAAACTAAAAAGAGTAAGACAAATTATATGAAAGACATTATAATTTTGTTTTTTAAAAAATAACACATAATAAATTTATTGTTAATGGAAAAAATGGGATCCCTCAAATTTTGGGGCCTAAAGCTGGTACCTCATTTTAAATGCATTGAGTTGAGGCCTAAAGCAGATACCTCATTTTAAATGCATTGAGTTGAGGCCAAAAGCGGATACCTCATTTTAAATGCATTGAGTCGCCCCTGTACCAAACAAGCCCTTATACCAAACAAGCCCTTATAGGAAAATATTTAGGGAATTTTACACAAATCACATAGTGTTAAGAGCTAATTGCATCCTATCTCCACTCCTTTTCAAATCACAAAAATTCCTTAAATTTAGTGGAATCCGGATACATCCCAAAAGGAGTATCGCTCTTAACAAAAATTCCCATATACATCATGTAAAGTGATAAGTTTGACATCCCGATACATCACGTAAAGCGATATATTGATAAATCGTGCAAGATGATGTATCCGATTGTGATGTATCCGAAAATAGGAGAGTAGATATTTTTATAATTTCTTCAAATTGTATGAAATTTTAAAGTATGATAAAATAAGTAGTGTATTTAGATAATTTTATCAAATATTTATTTATTCTAGAACGTTACAAACTAAGCAAGATTAATTTTACTTAATAAAGAAATACTCTCTCCGTTTCACAAAGAGTGGTCTAGTTTGACATGGCACGGAGTTTAAGAAAATAAAGAAGACTTTTGAATCTTGTAGCCCTAAATTAAAGTTATGTCAAATGTACAAAATTGTCCTTTAATCTTGTGGTTTTAAACATGCCACGTGGAAAGTTGAAAGTAAAATGTTACCAAAAAAGAAAAGAGATCATTCTTTTTGAAACAAACTAAAAAGGAAAAGAGGTCATTCTTTTTAAAACGGAGGGAGTAATAAATAAGAAGATCATATCATTATACAATGTCTTTAAAATATGTTTCATAGTTGAAATCAAATTGTTTTTTCCTAAATTAGAAAACCCTAAAGCGTCATTCAACACGCCATCAACATCTTCATATGGGCGATTTTGTCAACATCATTATTATTTTAAAAAATAAAAATTTCTTCCTTGTTCTGATCAATAGTTAATATCTATATCAACCTTGCCAACTTTTATGTCATTATTATTACCTACAAATACCTCTATCCAAACCTTCCTCCCCTTGATACATGTGATATAGTTAGCCATAGAAAAAGAAGAAGAAAAAAAAGCTTTGAGAGTGATACTCCTTTGGATGGTTTATGGTTTAACGGGACTAGCAGATCACATCGTGTGCTCAATTAAATAATGGAGATGGATAATAATTTAGATTATCTTTTTGGTTCGATGGAAAAACAACCCCGCTTTAGTACACTTGATCAAAGCGAAAATCAAGATCTATCGGAAAACAAGGTAACTCTTGAATGGAAGAAGTTTGTGGAAGAATTACAAGAGGTAGTGGGGTACAAATTCAAGAATGTTAATTTGTTGTATCAAGCTTTTACTCATTCTTCATTTCATCGAGAAGATGAGTGTGAATCATACGAAAGGCTTGAATACATAGGTGACTCGGTGCTAAATCTATTGATAGCAAAGGCTCATTATTTTCTACACCTTGATTTGGCTCCGGGACAGTTGACCCGGCTACGGGCAGCTAATGTTGATACCGAAAAACTTGCTAGGGTAGCCGTCAAATATGACTTTCATAAGTATTTACGGCACAAGAAACCTCTACTTAAGGGTCAAGTAAGTAGCAAAAAATAATTGTTATTATTTCTACTTTTGTTATTTTCATGTCTTTTGTGATTTATAACTTAAAATATTAGAAGTTAGAGTTTAAAATGAAGATATAATTAATGTTCTAAGTTTGGACATATAAATTAAGGAATTCCCTTATACTTAAAAGAAATTTTTACTAAAATGTGCTTCTTATGATTTTTTTTGTCAAGAACAAATTTTAGTCAAGAGCAAATTTTAGATTCCTTTCTGAGATGGTGAGCTAGATGTTAGGAGATGGTGAGCTAGATGTTAGGAGGGAGGATTGACTTGACCACTACAATATTTATTATTATAATATAAGCCAAAAACTTACAGAAATTAAAGGAGAACATGGACCAAGTCTTTAATGATGAAGAGAAATTCTATACAGAATTCTTTTCAAACAAAAACAAAAAAAATTAGCTAACAAAGAAATTAAACTTGTCATATTTATCTACTTAGGTAAATGTCATTGTCAAATTGAAATAGTGCCTTTGTCTCTCTTGGAAATATTAGATCTTAATTTCATTTGTAGCTGTCAATTTAGCCAGGAAATGCCATGCATGAATTGCCTCCTGATAACAATGCTTGATCTGCAACCAAGTATGCGGTCCGATGGCCAATGAAGTGGATGAGAACAGTGAGGTCTAGGTTCAAATTCCAACATAGACAAAATATTAGATGGTTTCTAGCATAGTGAATAGAGTTATCTGCTATCTCTTGCTGATAGAAGGTGATACGTCTCGCATGTTCTATTTTGGTTATATTAGCAATGTTATTGACAATGTGTTTGAGAGATGGAAATAATCTGAAAATCCATTCCCAAGACTATAGTATACCTAAGTATTGAAATCGTTCTTGATTTTGTAAAAAAACATCCATTGTTTTTAATCAGTTTTTAAACGTTAAAACACATCAATTATTTTGGAACTAATTTGTCAGTTGAAAATTCAACCAATGAGTTATTAAGGTGATGTCTGGTGTAAGTTTCGAAAATTGATAGGCATCTGGTTTCTATAAATATTGTTTTTCTGGACATCATTCTATGAACATAATTAGGGTTTTTTTTAGACATATGTTGCATAAGTGACATTTCAAGTTTATTATCTCCTCCCACAGTCACCATCACATCCCGTCACCCCTGAATCCTTACTCCCCATTCCATCATGCTTTCATAATGTTTTGCTGCATAACAAATAAATATATACTTTGGAGATGATTTCTTTTTGTTTGTATATCAAACACTAAAAAATATGTAAGAAATATACTTATTTTTCGAAAAAACACTTTCCCCGTTACCAAACACCACATTCAACACTTGTCATATAAACCTGTCACTTCATATTTTCCTAAACAGTAATAATGTGTTGAATTAATTCATCATTTAAAGTCTGAAGTGGTCATGTGTACCATTGCCAGCTAACCACATTTTTGAAGTAAATGCAAATATGTTTCCTATTGAATTCAACACTTTTTGTTGAAATTTTTATATATAATTAATTTTCTTGCATATGCATAAGTTTTTAACCTCCTTACCATAAGATTTAAAAAAAAAAATGAATGACCTTATTTGAATTCCTGCCTTCCTTTGGATGGAATTCACCACCCAATTTAGATTGCAATTCCAAATAACCCGATCAATGATCATACACAATGCCTAGTGGTGTGACAGGGTCTGGGTACAATGAGGCTCTTAGGCACTAGTTGGTTGATAGAGTATATTTTTTATTAGAACTCGTTATGTTTTTTCAGGTAGAAGAATTCAAAGATGCAATGCTTGAGTACCCTTTGCATTCATCAGGACTTATTGATCCCCCAAAGGTGCTGGCTGATGTTGTGGAATCCCTCATTGGTGCCATTTATATTGACTGCAAGTTCTCCATGGACATAACTTGGCAGGTGCATTATAATTGCTTCACTTTTTAATTTATTTTGTGTATTAGTTTAATAGCTCCGGGGGGTGTAGTATTATGAAAGTGGTTGTACTTGTACATTGTCCATACTTAGCATATTATTTGCATGCACGAACAAATACATCTTAAAATATAGGCTAAAGTTTAGACTGTTTGACTCTCAACAAAAAATTGCGACAAATATTTTAAAATGAAGGGAGTAATACTTTTTTCGTCTCATTTTATATGTACATATTACTGTTTTGAGGGGTAAATAGTCTTTTCTTTCACATCAATGTTTTCAAACATTTTAAAAATATTATGGACCATTAGTTGTGTTGATTTATAGTACCTTCCGTCTGATTTTAAAATATGTAAATTTATAAAAAAAAATCTTGAAGAATCTACACCTAATTTCATACTCTTCTTTTATACCTTGTACTTCAAACGCTTTCACATAAATGGAAACAAAAGGACTACTGAATATCGTGACTACAATATCACCTACTAACTTTAGATTTTAAATAAGCCCTCATGTGTGTATAGAAGAAACTTATATCAACAAGTTAAACTTTGGACAGGTGGTAGAAAATTTGTTGCAACCTATGATTACTCTAGAAAATCTAGAGACTCATCCAGTTACAAAATTCTATGAGGCTTGCCAAAGAAATGGATGGAGTGTTAAACTTATCGATACATGGGAAAAAACCGGAGAAATTGAAGTTTTTGCTGGTAAATTTGCCGGCAAGGGAAAATTTAGTGGCAAGAAATTAATTGCTCTAAATAGGGCTGCACATAATGCATATTGTGAAATTATCAAAAACTTGAAAACTACTTGTGATAATTATAATTGTAATGAAGCTCAAGACTAATTATTAGTTTTGAAATTTTGTATCAATCTTTGTGTATTCATAGTTCTTACTTATTTACTAGTCTTTATGTGTGCGCGCCTTGCACAAACGTTGTAATAGCTATAGAATTTGGGACTATATATTCAAAAAGTTATATATGTATATTTGAACTATAATATAGCGACCCTTAAATTTTTGCACAAACTTGAACTTTTTTTTTTTTTGGTTAACAAAATACTAATATTCGTTCATAAAAGATAGTGGCATGTTACTCATGCTAGTACAGAGATGTAACGTGTCTAGTAGCCCCCTATTGATGCTAATGGAAGGGGTGTTTCTACTACTAGTATTAATACATTCATCTACATTTGTAGGGGCATTAGTCAGCCTAACAAAACAAGTTCCCGCTATAACTGCTTCTAGCTTTTCCAAGACAAAACAACGGTGAAACTTCATAACACAAAAAGGAATTTGGTTGTGTTAGATTAGTCCCCTCCTTCGCTAGTGCATCCACGACTTGATTTGTTCCTCTAAAGTTATGCTGAATTGGGGGGTTCCCCAGCTTCTGCAATAACTCCTTTGAATAAGTAGGATGATCATGTACGAGAGTAATGATATCTTTACAATCTGTGCTGATTTCGAGTGGCATCAACTTGCGTTCGAAGGCTATCTGTAGACCTTGTAATAAGGATGTTGATTTTGCTTTAATGGCGTTCGTAGTATGGGCATTGCTCATATATCCAAGCCACTATCTGAGCTCGCAACACCAGAATGTTACTAATATTCCCACTTGGGGAAATACGGTTGCATACTATCGACATCCATGTCCTTGCCTCCGCAGTCAGGTATGAGCATAAAATTTTGGCCTTTGTGGTGGCCCGTGGAATATTTCATCCTGAACATAGCTTGAATCCAGCCAAGTACCCGACTCACAATCTTTGTCAGTGAAGGCCTTGATATCATGGTTGAGTAACCCATATATATATATGATTAATTGCTTCCGGCCTATAATCGACAACCTTGCCCCGGATAGTGATCAACTTTGATGCCATGTCAGTCTCCATAAGGTTTAGATATAGTGATTTAGATGTTATTGGTTTGGGGAGGGGAGGAGGGGATTGACTTGACCACTCCAATATTTTATTATTATATATAAGCCAAAAACTTGCGGAGATGAAAGGAGATCATGGACCAAGTCATTAATGATAAAAAGAAGATTCCAAAACTAAAAACAAAAAATTAGCTAACAAAGAAATCAAACGTCTCATATGTGTCAATAAAGTCGGTAGGATGCCAATTTAGAAAGGAAATATGTCAGTTGATTTGCCTACAATGCTGGATCTACTTGAAGTGAGCAAAAACCATGAGGTTTCAGGTTCAAATTTTAATATAGACAAAAATATTAGGTGGTTTCTTCTCATTTGTCTCAGCCATAGTAAATAAAATTATCTGACACTTGTTGTTGTCCTAGCCATAGTGAATAGAGTCATCAACGTATTTGATAGATGAAAATAATATGAAAATCCATCTCTATATTACACCTTAAGTATTGAAATCTTTATTGATTTTGTAAAACATGAATCAATTTTTAAAGGTTAAAGCATTAATTATTTTGGACGGAAGAAAGTAACTTTTAATTTGTTAGGTTGAAAATTCAACCAATGAGTTATTAAGGTGATGTCTGGCGTAAGTTTAAAAAATTGATAGACATCTGGTTTCTATAAATATTGTTTTTATGGACATCATTCTATAAACATAATTAGGCTTTCTTTTAGACATTGGTGGTATATATAAGTAACATTCCAAACTTTCATAATGTTTTGGTATATAACATATAAATACTCTGGAGATAATATCTTCTTATTTATATATGTAAGATATCTACTTATTTTTTAAAAAAAACATTTTCCTCCGTACCAAACACCTCATTAAACATTAATAGTGCTGAATTAATTCACCATTTAAAGTCTGAAGTGTCATGTGTACCATTGCCAGCTAACCACATTTTTGAAGTAAATGCGAATATGTTTCCTATTGAATTAATTTTTTATATATAATTGATTTTCTTGCATATACATAAGTTTTTAAACTCCTTAACATAAGATTTTTTTTGAAATTTTTTGAATGACCTTATTTGAATTCCTGCCTCCCTTTAGACGAAATTCACCACCTAATTTAAGCTGCATTTCCAAATAACTCGATCATAAACAATACCTTGTGGTGTGACAGGGTCTAGGCACAACGAGGCTCTTAGCTATTAGTTGGTTGATAGATTATAGTTTTGATTAAAACTTGTTATATTTGATCTGTAGAAGAATTCAAAGACGCAACGCTTGAGTACCCTTTGCATTCATCAGTAGTTATTGATCCCCCAAAGGTGCTGGCTGACGTTGTGGAATTGGTGCCATTTATATTGACTGCGATTTCTCCATGGACATAACTTGGCAGGTGCATTATAACTGCTTCACTTTTAATTTATTTTGTGTATTAATTGTATAGCGGGGCGGGGGGGGGGGGGGGGGGGGGGTTGGTTGTACTTGTACATGGTCCATACTTACATATTATTTGTGCGCACGAACGTATATGATGAACAAAGGTTAAAGTTTAAACCGTTTGACTCTCACCAAAAAATTGTGACAGATATTTCAAAATAAAGAGAGTAATACTTTTTTCGTCTCATTTTATAGGCATATATTACTGTTTTGAGAGTTAAATAGTCTTTTCTTTGACATCAATGTTTTCAAGCATTTTAAAAATATTATGGACCATTAGTTGTGTTGATTTATAGTACCTTCCATCTGATTTTAAAATATGTAAATTTTATAAAAAAAATTGCAGAATGTACACCTTATTTCATACTCATCTTTTATCCCTTGTACTTCAAACACTTTCACATAAACTGAAACAAAAAGAGTACTAATGAATATCGTGACTACAATATCACCTACTAACTTTAGATTTTAAATACGCCTTCATGTGTGTATAGAAGAAACTTATATCAACAAGTTAAACTTTGGACATGTGGTAGAAAATTTGTTGCAACCTATGATTACTCTAGAAAATCAATAGACTCATCCAGTTACAAAATTCAATGAGGCTTGCCAAAGAAATGGGTGGAGTGTTATACTTATTGATACATGGGAAAAAACAGGAGAAATTGAAGTTTTTGCTGGTAAATTTGCTGGCAAGGGAAAATTTAGTGGCAAGAAATTAATTGCTCTAAATAGGGCTGCACATAACGCATATTGTGAAATTGTAAAAAACTTGGAAACTACTTGCGATAGTGATAATTGTAACGAAGCTCAAGACTAATTATTAGTTTTGATATTTTGTATCTATTTTTGTGTATCCATAGTTCTTACTTATTTACTAGTATTTATGTGTGCGCGCCTTGCACAAACATTGTAATAGCTATAGAATTTTGGACTATATATTCAAAAAGTTATATATGTATGTTTGAACTATAATGTAGCGACCCTTAAATTATTCTGAGTGGCATCAACTTGCATTCGAAGGCTATCTATAGACCTTGTAATAAGGATGTTGATTCCGCTTTAATGGCGTTCATAGTATGGACATTGCTTATATATCCAAGCCACTATCTGAGCTCGCAACACCGGAATGTTGCTAATATTACCACTTGGGGAAATACGGTTGCACACTATCGACATCCATGTCCTTGCCTCCGCAGTCAGGTATGAGCATAAAATTTCGGCCTTTGTGGCGGCCCATGGAACATTTTGGCCCGAACATATCTTTGAAGCCAGCCAAGTACCCGACTCACAATCTTTGTTAGTGAAGGCCTTGATATCATGGTTGAGTAACCCATATATCTGATTAATTGCTTCCGGCCCATAATCGACAACCTTGCCCTGGATAGTGATCAACTTTGATGCCATGTCGGTCTCCATAAGGTTGGCATAGAACTCCCGAACTAATTGCTCATTTGCCTTGCAAGGTTCAACTACAAAGCATATCGAATCGGATGCCAACAACCTTTAGTGGAAAGTTGGAATGTTTCCTCAACTTTATCGAGCGATATGCCTCTCTACGGAAGTAGTTTCTTCTTCATCAAATCAGCATAATAAATCTCTTGTGCCCAGAGAGAGACAAATCGATATTGGCATAGTGGACCACCACTTCCTCCTCAAAACCAAGTTCGTGTGCCATTCTTGACTTGTGAGAATCTATAAATCACAATAGCATATGAGTGGGTGTGAATTATATGTTAAACAATGCTATTTAATAATTAGAAGTCAAAGAAAATGATTGGAATTCAAATTAGAACCAAAACAAGCATTCTGGCAAATTTATACTGGCAGGAAACTGCCATAGATATCGCAAAAGCGATGCTCAGTTCGCTTAAGCGAACATCACCGAAGCGCTTAAGCGGAAATCGCAAAAGTGAAAGACTTCGCATAAGCGAACATCGCTTAAGCGATGACATGTTCGCAAAAGCAAACAGTCGCCTCCTTCAACATGAACAACCAACTTTGATTTCGACATGATTTTACCATCAGTGTAAAATTAACAACAAGCAAACACGCAACCAATAAATGCAATCATTTTGGCACAAAAAGTTTTGAAAATCATTTTAAGAGTTCATTTGGGAATTTTATCAAATACATGGTGCCCAAACTAATTTTAACAATTAAATAATGAAATAGGTACTCAATACTTCCCTAGAAAGATACTGCATAGATTTTTAAAGTATGCTCAGAGAGATCAACAAACCTAATTCATGGTGACGCCGAGCGGCGGCAAAGTCTCATTAGGGGTTGATTATCTACTACCATATTCTGAATTCCCTCCCTTACCATCAACTCTACCCTCAACATCAAAAGTAAACTCTTTATTGACTAAAGAGAAAACCTTTGCAGATTCTTTGAATGATATGATATTCTAGAGGATAACTCATTAATGAAGGAAATAACTTATGTGGAAGGTATTCCACAAGTAGAATGGACTGAGCAGGAAGTAATTAAGATTACTCATATTGAAAAACTTCAATTTGCAGTAAT